AGAAGAGGGGAGCCGCAGCAGGGTAGTGGGGGAGAAATGAGGAGTAATATAATAGGGGGTTTGCGGGGGGGGGAAGTATAAAAAGCAGGGAATGACGTCAAGGAGATAAATATGAATGAGAAGATAAAGGTGAAAAAAAAAAAGAGAAAACTGAGGTCTCATCCTCAAAATGGAGGCAGATATGACAGGCAGAGGCTGTCAGTGTATTCCTGGGATTACTGTGTGGATGAGGAGCTTTGCTTAGTCTGTATTAAGTTCTACAGCCATGAATATAAACGTATCTCGCCTGCTCGCCCTACAACCTCATATTACCAACAAAGGGTTCATGTTACTAATTATCTGTGGGAGGGATCGCCGGCTTTAGATGCCACATAACGCAATAACTGTAATGGCATGACAAAAGCTCGGTGGCTGAGGACTTGCTAAAGCCAGCATTTTCTCCCCGAGACCTGACTGACGGCGAGTTAATCAAGAACGACACACACAATATGGCTCCTTTCCACCAGGCTGAAAGTGCTCCAGTGTGAATATGAAAGAGGAAACAGCCCGAGGGGAGCAAGCAGTCAAAGTCACCCGATATTAGCCGATTCTGCTCTGCAGCATACGGAGTTAAAAACGCAAGACAAGCGGTAGCGAGGTGTCACGCCGGGAGGGAGGCGACCTGACAGCGGGACGCTAATGTTTGGACCATTTATCATGAAAAAGGCTGAGATACAGTTCAGCAGCCGTGGACGGTAACCTGGTTTCCAAATAGAGGACGACTAGGTGCACCTGTCGTCTCCACGGAACGGAAAGTAGAGCTGGAACATTTTCCTCTTACATTATACTACATTACTTTGGCTCATTTTTAACTGGACGGCACCTGACTGAAGACAGGTGGACTCACCTGTGGGCCTCTACACAGGACTACTAATGATCTGCCATCTGCCCCAAGAGGAGCCCACGGTGGAGGTGGACTAATTTCACAGTGTGCCTCCTGGTGGAGCTGTTGGTTGTGGTCTTACCACTGAGGGCCTCCTGGTAGAGCTGCACAAAGTGGGTGAAGATGTCTTTAGGGATGGTCTTCTCGTCAGGCAGACACTGGAGGAGAATGACCACCTCTGCCTGGCCGACGGCGTGCATGCCCTTGGTCGTCACGTACCAACACTTCCTGTTTACATCTGTGGGTTGAAAGAACAGGAGCTCTATCATATCAGACATGCAGGAGATACAGCAGTTGCCAAGTTACAGCAGAGCCATAAACATTTCATAAGATACTTTCAGTGTGTCAATGTGATGAATATTTGATGAATTCTCACTTTTATTTAAAAGTCATGACAGAAATCTTACTAATTCAGACCTGGAAACCTTTTTAACACTTCCAGAACAAGTCTGAACTGAATCTCCACCAGCACAGGATTAAATATTCTTCTTGTTGTAACATCTTGTCCCTTCTTGTTAGGAGAACTACACTATAATACTCAAGTTTTTCTTCTTCTTCTTTTTCTCAGATCAGTCTTTAAAAGGGATTTTACAAGTAATAATAATAATCAGACAAGCTGTCTCCCTCTTTTGATTTAAAAATCTCATCCCTGCCAACTGCACGGACGAATTTCCAGCAAAACACACACATACAACTTGTGAGCTAAGGTCCCAATTTAACGTCCTGTAACTCTACCGTTGTGCACTGTTGCAACCGATACGACGGGCAGCAGAATTCTCTCATCAATTATTAAATTAATTTGATGCTGTATTAGTGAATTCAGTGTGAGAGGTGAACGCTCACGGTGGCCAACAAGTAAAGAAATTAACATTTCAACAGCAAAACAAGTTTCCTCAAACACACCTCTTCCCTCGTCTCATTATATTTACACTCCCCACTGAACGCCGTTGGCCCCTAGCTGCCGAATATTGTGTGGCCTCTTTCCACAACTCGTCCTATCATGTCTCTATGAAGCCATAACAAACATTTACACAACTGACTCCTTTGTCTGAATTACAAAAGGCTGTTAAAAAAGGTGAGGTAAGAAATTCTGGAGGAATCCGATATCATGACGAATATTATGATACAGATGTGAGATGTAAATGTGAGTAACGTTAGCTGTGTTGTTTGTTATTGAACTGTCGTAACTAACGTGCAGAGACGACGTGTCGGTTTCCCAGAGGCAGCTCAGTGATCCTCGACTGACCTGCTACTATAACTAACATCACAACAACAGCACATCTTGGCAAACTACAAAGTAAGTTGAATGTAATTTAACGTCATCTGACAGAAATCCTGGCTGCAATAAGAAGTTATTGTTGTTCAGAGCCGAGCAGAAAGCTTGTGGACTGTGGGGAGAGATCTGCTGAATTTGAAAAGGGTTATAAAAAAGAAATATGTGAATTTTGGGTATGTTTGGGTACATCTACTCAATAATTCACAAGACAAAGGCTTAATCAGGACCAATTAAAATTTTATACAGTACAAATATGTATTCTCCATTTTCCTTAGTTCATCGTGAAATCAATAATTTAAAAGTAGCACTGATTTTTGCTCCTCCAAAATGTCCTTGTGGGAATAAAGTTTGACCTGTATTTTATAAAATTCCATCTCATTAATGCCTTAAATCGCTGCTTAAAGACACCGACTGGGTAACTCACAGTTGACAAGTTTGACCATGGCGAGCAGGTTAGCATTGAGTACGAAGACCAGGGGGTCTGGGCCTCCCTCCTCGAGCTGCTGCATGAGGACGATCTCTGACGGCCTCTCCTCCACTGCATAGTCTGCAGGTGGAGCAGAAGGAGGAGAGGGAGGTGGAGGGAGGAGTCAAGGTGAAGTTGGATGAACGGACAGGAGAGAACCGAGGATGAGAGAGGGTGGATGTGAGGTCAGAGAAGGAAATGATCAGAACAAACATCTAGAGACCCTCCCGACTCTTTAAAAACATCTTCTCTGCGCTCCCGTGAACAAACACCCCCCCCCCGTCCGTTGGCAATGAGTGGTCGAAACATGAGCCGTGATATAAAGCACGTGGGAAAACACTTTAACAAGCACAAACACAGCAGCTGACGGAGCAATGAGGAGGCAGCAGGATGGTGAGGATGAGGGCAAGCACCTGTGATGTGGCCTCCCGTACCTCCTTTGACTCCGGTGGAGATGAGGATGGGAGGGAGCCCGTCCTCCGGGATCAGGCTGAGGGAGCTGCCCACGGGGCTGCCCACCTGGGCAACTGGGGTATGTGCTGCCTGTGGAGGGAGAGGAGGGGAGAGGAGGGGAGGAGTGTAGCGTTAGATGTAGGTTATAAACGCACAGTGAGATGTAACAGTAGAGTGGCAGTATCCAAAAGGGTTTTCACGGCTGTGGTTTTTGGTACACATCTGAACATTATACGTATAAATAAAACAGGAGGAAGCAGAATAGTTACTGCATAGCTTCTTTGTTTCTTTTGGCTAAGAAACCCATTACACAGCAGTTATTTATAGGAATTACCAGCAGTGTTGGAAAGTATTTCTACACTGTCAGGTTGCATTGTTGAAAATCTATTTGTTACATAAATGACTGTGATAGAAGAAAATACTTTATGCCCTGAATTGGTGTACTTAAAAGTCCATTTAGTGCTACCGATTTCCTGCACTAATCACTATCTGTACACACGACTCTGCAGTCCTCTACTATGAAGCTTTATTGCATCTTTCAGCTCACCGTTTTAGTTTTAGAGCCCACATTTTTACTATTTTCTTTGTTTACTTTCAATCTCTCTTATCAACCCTGTTTCAGCAGCAGGCAGCTAGTGAGTTAGTGACTAGCTGGTAAAAATAATGGAGCATTTAGCAGCTAAAGAGGAGTTGGTGAAGGCCTAAAAGGAGTCTAGAAGGAGGGAAAATGTGGGACTTACATCCTTTAGGTGGCCAGGAATAAGAGTCTTTGTAAATAGGCACATAGGGATAATTTAACGTTTTACAAATTAGGTTGACATTGTTTGAAGACACTTCTGAGATACAAATTTGATGCTGACTTTTAGTTCCTAGTACAAAGTGAAACTCGCTCACAAACACTGGATACAACTTTCTTTCAAACTCTATGCAAGTCCAGTTTTGTAACACAAGCTTTCTGTTATAAATTAATAGTCGCTGTGACAAGTAAATTGATTTTGACATGTGAAATTGATGGAGGTCCATTTAAAAATTCCTACCGTTCCTACCGAACTGCTCTCTCACTCTTGCCTTTAAGTCACTTTTATTAAGACTGTAAACCATGAAAACAGTTAGAGAAGCACAGTATGACCCTCTGTACTTCAACTGTCCACCACTGGTGAACTGATGAATCTTTGGCAGCAAATTCAAATCCACGCACTGCTGAGTTCATGTGAAAGTCGGATTTTATACTCGTCTGCGTAGCTTCATCGCCATACGAGTTGAAGCCATTTAAAATGCTTCTAACAATCATTCTGTTCACTAGGCCATGAATCATCCTGACAGGTGGCATTCAAGTCCAATGAGTGTACAGCAACAACCACATCCAACTTACTGTTCTGTTATTTGTTGAGTCAAACATTAAACTATTTAAGCATTTAAGTCTACTGGGATTTCTAATTCTGCTTAAGCAAGCAAGGAATGTTTCCTTTGAACTCTGTTTACTGCATTCTTACTGCAGTCCGTGACCCAGCCAATAAACCACCAAGACTCCCACAGAAAGAGTTCTTTGTGGCTTCCTTCAGCTAACTGCAGAGTAGCTAAGTTGACCGTACGAGCTGAGCTAATAGCATTAACTTTGGGTGCATGTTTTTCATGCCCAGCCCACCTCTGAGGATTCAGAAGTGGAGGATTTGTTTGAATACGTGGAGATGGCCAGTGACTGGGAGGGCGCTGGGCTGGAGCTCGGAGGTTTGGGGGACTCTGCTGTGTCTCCGTTAGGTAGGACCCCATCAGCAAACCACACCCTCCTCTGCTCTCGTGACAGGGACCCTAAAGATGAGACATACGTATAAAAATCAGTTTATCTTAATGTGTTGGTTGACCATCAGACACAGTGAAACAACACAAGGTTACACAAAATCGAATGCAGTAAACGTAGAAGCACTTTAAAGAAGTGGGGACAGAATGTCACTGTAAAAGGCTAAAAAATAAAGTGCTAAGAGCATTTTTATTCTTGGTAAAGGTTGTACCCTCATTGCCAGGCTGTTTCAGGACTCCCACAGGCACCATGACGGTAGGAGGAGGAGAGCTAAGCACCCCAGAGGCCTGGGCCTGCTGCAGAGGGGGGATGGTGGAGCAGTACTCCGCTGGGTTGTTGGGGTTTGGACTCTGGTTGCTTGCAGTGGCCGGTGTCTCCCACGATTGAGCTGAAAAACGTAATTAGTACGAGTTAGAGAACTGCGTGTGTTGAGAGGAAATGTCTTTTAAACTATACGTCCAATCCTACATGTGAACAGGAGTCACGTGTTTAAGATAGGTGGCTGAAAAACACAAACTGGTAGTAAAAGTATCACTTTAAAGTTGATATTGACCAATATTAATAGTGTTTCCATATACTGTTACACATCTCTTCAAGACAAGCACAGGTGTAACTCGTTTTGTTAATGAGGGCTCTGTTGCAGTAAGTGGCCCAGTAAGCCA